GTAAAGGGAGGTAACTCCCTCTTTTACCAGAGATTAATGTGAATAAAGAAAAGAAAAAGAAAGTGAAGTCACTCAGTCGTGTCCAACTCTTTGTGACCCCATGGACTGTAGCCTACCATGCTTCTCCATCCTTGGGATTTTCCAGGCAAGAATACTGGAGTGGGTTGCCATTTCCTTCTCCAGGGGATCTTCCTGATCCAGGTATCAAACCTGAATCTCCCACATTGCAGGCAGACACTTTACCCTCTGAGCAACCCTAAAGACTGTACATGAGGTATACGATTTATTAGCTCTGTGTCTTTGAACAAGTTTCTTTACACCCCTAAGTCTCAGTCCCCTCATCTGTACAATAGGAGTGGTAGTACTATACAGCTATCTGCCCAGCATCCCTTCACCCCTTTCCTTTGGGGAACTACCTCCAGCCCCACTACCTATTCCATATGGCTTTGATAAAGTTCCCCACCAACCAGATGGGTATGTACCAGATCAGCCAACTAAGAGTACCTCCAAGGACAAAGTTAGTCCAGAAATGCACCACGACACAACAAGGCCAATTGAGGTCCTTTTCTTGAAACATGGAGGCGGCAGGGTCACCCAGCTGTAATGAAGTAAGCCTGAAGCTACCGTACAGTGTTTTCCAATATGTGCAGAACATCTATCTGCAAAAGAAAAGACTGGAGAAATGAGATAACAATTCCTGGTAACATCTAAGTCCCTGGCTCCATCCAACTAGGAATCTGGCCTATCCTGCAGAATACCCTTTTTTGCTTAAGCAAGTGTGAGTTGTGTTTTTGCCCTTGACAACAGGGAAAAGTTCTATTTAAAAGTCATTCACAGAGCAGCTGCCAAATTTAATGAAAAGCACAGTAAATCCCTTACATACAAACCTTCAAGTTGCAAACTTTCAAAGATGCAAACGTGTTTACATGTCTAATCATGTAAGTTAGTTCACATGTCTGGCATACAATGTAATATGCATACATCCTCTACAAGTGGCTGGGTTTTTGTGTATTTTAGAGTACAGTAGTATAGTATCTTTACTTCAAGTTGAGGATGTCCAGAAGCAAGCATAAAAGCAGTGGTATACAGCTGATTGTGTTAGCTGAGTACCTAGGCTAACTTTACTGGACTCACAAACATGCTTTCAGAATGGAACTCATTCACATGTAGGGGATCTACTGTAACTAATTGTGCCTGGCAACTGCAGGTACTTAATAACTGGGTCATTGATGAAGTTGTTACTCCTGTAATCAGAAAATACAACCAAAGTATGAAAGGAATGCCAGAAATAAAAACAAAAAGATAGATAAGTCTAAGACAGCATTCCTGGTTGGTAGCAGCAGTTTGGGGACAAATATGAAGAAAGTGACTCCACAGGTAAGGAGAGAACCTATGAAGTTCACAGCCAATATCAGACTTCAAATGAATTTGCTATGAAAGAACTAAGGAATTTCACTTCTTGCACTAAACTCACCTCAAAGTATGACTGACCTTCCAAAGGGTTTGTCTTTTCATGAGATCAGTGTCTCAACGTTTAAAGAGATTTCAAAATGTACAACTATACTTTTTAAACACCTAAACCCAATTTCAAGTTTTAAGATTTCATAAAATACAACTTAATTTCCATATGGTTAATAATTATTGTGTGAGTCACTGTTGTTCCCTAAGTAGTAATATAAGTTTATCTATTAAACACTATAATTTAAGGAAAGTATCCTTCAATTAATAAAACAGATGAATTCCTTAAAATTTTATACAGAAAATTATACTATCACTATGCAATGTGAAAAGAAATCACAAAACTGGATTATACACCCCCACCCCCACCCCAATCAATTAGTCAAGTTGAAGAATTAAGAGAAAATGAAGACTTAACCCGATTGCACTCTGACTGCTGCCACGCCAAACAACCGCCCCTCATGTAGCAGCTACTATGATACGTGCATGGCACTGTGCCACCCCAAGCCAGGCTCCACAGAACCATTAGCTGAGCTGCATTATTCAGATACTACAATCTGTTGAAATTTATCTTTTATCCAATACATAGGGGGAGAAAATTAAAAGAATTTTCTCAGTTTTAAATGTTACTCACCTATTTTTTTTAAAAACTTTGAACTTCCTCTACCTATTCAGCTAGAATCTAAGGTGAGTACCATCTGATTTAGCACATAATTTGACACTTGGTTTGGCTTCTCAGGGGTATTCTGCAAAGAGCACTTCAATTTCTGTACAAATCTGAAAACCACAATGCTTAGAGGTGAGGAATCAAAAATAACACAAGCCAGGGCAGGTCAATTATCTCAATGAGTTACAACGTAGTTTTAGAGAGTGGATATAGAAATTCTAAAAAATATTAATAAGAAAAAAAATGGTGAAAAGGCCAGTCAACAAGCTCTACAGGCCATCTGTGAAGGTAGTGAGGTTACTAGAGAAATCAAACAGTAGTAATGAGGCAGGTGACTCAAAAGACACAGGCTATAGGCGGAGCTTTGAAAGAAAGAGAAGTATTTAGAAATATGGCTAAGAAAGTACAGAGTGTTGCCAGTTTCATGTTGTGCTGCAACTACTACTACAGATCTTTGGGTTTTATCTGGCAAACTCATGGTGGTTAGAAAAAGAGGTGTCATGTGAGAATTTTAAATATGTCAGGTAACACATAAATTTCCAATTTTATGTATTTCAGGCTAAATTTGTTGTCATAAAGCATAAAAACCTCAGTGAACTAGAAATCAACTAACAAGACTTCTAATCAGTAAAAGAAAATATATGAAATCCAGGTTGTCAGGAACTAGAACTAAAAATTCTCTGTTATTCAAACCTTTCTTAAAACTTGGCTATAAAAATACACAAAGAGATTTTTCTATATGTGGTTCTGGGGGCCATGTAATCTATTTAGTCCTTTAGACATTTCTAAATTATATTCTTAGATCAGGCTGATTAGATTTCTGCTGATTCACCTGACTCCTAATGTCCCTAATAAATTGTTTTTTGCATCAAGCTATTTGCTTACACTAAGGAATATTATAAGAAAAATCATAAAAAGCTCATGGTATGGCTGCTGGAAGAATAACAATCCAAATTCTGTCTCTATGTACATCAGGTTTCAGCAACATGAGAAACAATGTTTTTATCCAATGGATACTGTGAATCCCATAAAAGACCCATATCCCCCTTTGTTTTGGCCCCAAGGAAGTTCAGAACAATGTTTGCCGTCTTTTTCTTAAAAAATGAATGGACTATGTAGTTTGCATCTCTAAAAGGATATGTTACTTCAGTTTATTAGTCTATCTTTATTTTTTCTTTCATATGATTCTCTTAACTGTACTCTTGAATTTTTTTTAATTGCCTCACATCCTTTGTGGAGTAACGTGCATGCAAATAATACAAAATCTAGAATTCACAACAATTAAACAGCATTGAGCACTAGAAGAGTGCTAAAATGTCACCACATTCTACTCTCCTTTTAAGCCAATAAGGCAGAGGAACAAAAAGCATTTGCAAACAAGCTTTTGGTTTTTTTAGAGTCCAGGATATCTGCCAGAATTAATACATACTCAAACCAATCTATCTTGGCACTATACAACAACTGGAACTCAGGATGATAAACCCAGGACACTAAAAGAGCCTATGAAATATTTAAGGTTTCAGGCTTTTTCTTTAAAATATAGAAGTAGACTAAGATATCATTTTAGATATATTTTAGCCACCATGACCATCACCACATTTTCTAGCTAAAACTCTCAGAAAGACCAAGTAAAGACAGTGCTCATGATCCTAGGTAATCCAAGTAAATAAGGACCTTCTTTAAGGTTCTCTTCTGGGCCTCTCTGAAACTCAGTAGGCATGTCTACCTTCACAGTTTCAGTTTCTATGTAAATAACTCAAAAATATCTCTACCACTTCCACTGAACATCTTATCATAACCTCAATTAAAATGATCAAAATTGAGCTTCACTGTCTCCCTCTTCTTCCTCACCACATAAGCAACCCTTTCCAAAGATCTCATTCTGTCCTATTCCAATTCCAGGTCAACTTCATCCCTTTCTTCTCTTCATCTCTGATATTCTATCTTATCAGGCTTAACCATTCTTCTTCTGAAGTATCTTTCTGGCTGGCATTTTCTTTTTCATTTGCACTTTTATGTTACTAGTTCAGGCCCTAATTACAAGTTGACTTCTCTCCTCTGCTCAGACTTTCCATTTCATCCTATATTTCTTTTTTTGTTTTTTTTCATTTCACCCTATATTTCACTGTCTCAGCGTTGTTTTTTATAAAGCCATTTTCCTCAAACCTGCAATAACAGTTTCCTAAACTTATTACATCATAATCAAAGTGACATCCCTCGACCTGAACTTTCAGGGAGATCTAGGATATGGCCCCACACTAATTATCTCACATTTCCCATAACTATCCCTAAATCACCATTCACTACTCCAGGCCAGGTTAATGCATCTACCACACTTTGATCTTCATCCACAGCATTCGTAAGACTGTCATTTTTCATGTCTTCTAGATCTCTGTTCAAATATCACCCTCTCAGAGAGGCCCTTGACCACCAAAAAGTCACTATTCCACTGCTCATTATTTATTGGGCATTGTGTCAATAAATAATAATGATAAGCACTATCTCCTCTCGCTAGGATATAAACCTTGTAAGTTCTTTGAGGGCAGCTATCAGGTATGATTTTTTATATTTCCCATGAAAGTTTTCCTGGATATGTTAGAACACCAATAAATACCTAATGATCAGTTTACTAGACAGAATATTTGCAATCTGTAAAAATATAAAATGTTCTAAAGCCAGACATAAACACAGAGAAACTACAAAAAGGGTAATGACATAATAAATATTATTTAGTGTAAGTTCAGAATCACATCATTTTTGACTTGAAAAGTTTTCCTAAACTAATCAAACATTAATTTCTATTTCAACAACTAAAATTTCATTAAAATGACAACCACTAAGCAAATGATTCTAAGGGAGCAAGCTGAAGTCTTACTTAATATTATAACGTCCAGTTTTCAGTGTACATCTATCAGGAAGCTGAGCCAGTTTTCTTGAGAGCACTTTAAAATACTTTCTGCATTCCTGCATGCCTGTGCCTTGTTCATAGTCAGTAGAAGCAGAAAGTGGCAGTCCATCTCTGACACGAATGACTGAGGCAGATAAAATCATAGACATTTCCACCAGCAGAGAAGACCTGAAACAAAATGAACAATTTGAGTTAGGTAAGAAATTAAATCCAAGGCTGATAAACAGTGCAAAAAATGTGCAACTCACTAATAATCAAAGACATACTAATTAAAGCAATGACACATCATACTTTCCTTCACAAATTAGCTGTTAAAAAAACCATTTGCTTCCTTCTGACATTTCTGTAGGTATACATGGAAATAAATATTGGAATAAATAGCACTCTCAAAACAATTTGGTGATGCTCAACAAGAGTTTAAAAAAACATATGCCCTTTGACCACAATAAATAAATATATACATATATCTCCTTATCCTAAAGAAAATAATCAGATTTAGAAAAAAAATTTAAACAGACATTTTTCTCATAAAAAGAGCTGAAAACAACCAAAACATTCAACAATGGGGGATGGTTAAACAAATTATTGGTACACCCCATGATGGAATATAATGCAACTAAAAGTTATGTTTGTTAAGAACAGTTTAATGATATGGTAAAATGTTTATATGTTAGGTATTAAAAAAGCAGGATCAAAACTGTATATGCTGTTTTCCATAAAGACACAGAGAAGGATGAAGGGAGGGATAAATGGCGGAACAGATACTGGAAGGAAACATGACAAAATCAGAATGCTTATTTCCAAGAAACAGTATTATGGGTGACAGTTATTTTACAATTTCCTAAGTCTCCGCAATAGTCCACAATGGGCATATATTATGTTTATAATCAGATAAATGTTTTATTTAAAATAAGTCTTAAAGCTAAAGGAATACTAATTATACTGTTCTCAATCTTTTTGCCAGAGAGCGAATTATAATGTATGGATGTGAGAGTGATGTATGGATGTGAGAGTGGACTATAAAGAAAGCTGAGCACTGAAGAATTGATGCTTTTGAACTGTGGTGTTGGAGAAGACTCTTGAGAGTCCCTTGCACTGCAAGGAGATCCAACCAGCTCATCCTAAAGGAAATCAGTCCTGGGTGTTCATTGGAAGGACTGATGTTGAAGCTGAAACTCCAATACTTTGGCCACCTGATGCGAAGAGCTGACTCATTTGAAAAGACCCTGGTGCTGGGAAAGATTGAAGGCGGGAGGAGAAGGGGACGACAGAGGATGACGTGGTTGGATGGCATCACCAACTCAATGGACATGAGTCTGAGTAAACTCTGGGAGTTGGTGATGGACAGGGAGGCCTGGCGTGCTGCAGTCTGTGGGGTGGCAGAGTCGGACACGACTGAGTGACTGAACTGACTAAACCATAATGACCTGTTTTATTATATTCTAATCATGCTTTACAAAAATAAATAAAAGACCATAGGTTTAGGCAGGTCTGAAAGAAATCAGGTAAACAGTCAAACTTTGATAAAATACACACACAGTGGTTCTCAAATTTTAGCCTGTATCAAAACCACTGGAATTTTTATTAGAAATGCAGATTTCTGGGTCCTCCCCTCAACAAATTCTGATCCATTGACTTTGGGGTGGAGCTTGAGCATTTTCCATTTTAAGCAAATTCCCCAAGTAATTACTATGCTTATCTAAGGACCATACTTTGAAAAAAAACTGAATTACAACATATTAACAGTCTAAAATTAAGTGATAACTCTTTCCTGCCAGGCCATAGAGCATAATGCCACTAAATATGTCTCCTTCACTAGCAGCAGTAAAACTGAAAAATTTGGTAACAATGTCATAGGTTTTTTTCAAGGTAATATATCTCAGAGACTAAATTAATCCTTACCTGATCAGCTTAGTTAGTTCAATATTATCTTACTCCAAAAATGAAAAACTGAGTTAGTAATATATCAAACAATAATAAAGAAAACCAATTGGTACCAAGTTTGGAAACCAGTGGCCCCTAATTTTTGTCGCTGTGTCAAATCGAAATCTGAGTGCCCAATCATGATCATAACTGATAACAAAGCTTAACCCAAATAATAAAGCTAATGCATTAAATTTACTTCCCCCTTTACCTCTATTCATGAGGGAATGAGAAGAAAAGCTAGGTATTAATATGTCATTACTCTTTAATATTTTGCTTCTCCATTTATTTGAAAGGAAAAAAAAAAAAACCCAGCAGGAATTAAATTAGTCTTTACCACAATGGAATCTTCAAACAAAAGTTCCAACATGACATATCCAAATCATTTTTTTTCTTCTTATTCAACCAGCTCCTTTTTCCTTCTGAAGGCAGTAGCAAAAGAAAGCTGGGATCACGGGATAATGTCTATACTATAAATCTCTTTTTAAAATTATTACATTTATTAAACCACAATTGTAACATTTATCCTAAGTGTAAGAAATTAGGAAAATGGCTTACTTTATACCCTTACAATTCATGATTTAAACAGAAAATTTCATCTTTCCAGAAGTATACTGAAACACAATGACCACTCTAGGACTTAACATGAAGGCAGGATTGTGACTTACAGTTTCCAAACATCCATATTCTTAGTACTGTTTAAAAGAAACTGCATTCTTTATGTTCGATCTTTCTAGGATCGCAACAGAAATATTAGGAATAAGCTTTACTATACAGTGCCAACTTTCACATAACCTTCAAAGCTACTCTTTTCTTTTTATATGACTTAAAAGACAGAAATATATGATTCATACTTCCTAAAAGAATACTAACCTAGTTAAGTTCCATTCATTTAAGAAACATTTATTATTTATGCCAGGGGCTATGTTAGACATTAGGAATAGATAGTTCCTACCACTGAGAAGCATTGGTCCAGAATTAAAGAAATTCAGATGGAAAGAGCAAACATAACAAAAGCTATATTGCCAACTGCTTTACTAACTGGAAAACTACAGTTACACAAAGTTGCCTTTCAGATATTCCTAATATACAGCTTTAGGCTTGTAACCAAAAACACAACAAGAGTGATATTCCCTTTCTAAATTCTTGAAAGGTTTTCAGAGAACTACTTCAATAGATCTACTGATAAGATTTCTCTGAGGAGAAAAAAATTAAACCTCTTCCTTTCAGAGTCATTTAACCTAGCATTCAAACCACTGAACTAACAAAAGAAATTGGGATGACTGCCCAGTGAACAATACAAGCCTTGACTAATTTGTAGAGACTTTAGTCACCTTCAGTTCAGTCCAGTCATGTCCAACTCTTTGGATTAGCAATCTTTCCTTTATTAACTCAATAAATACACTCCCCCCTTTCTTCTTTTTACCTTGAATTCTTAATACAGTTCCTTAAACACACACACACTCCAATCTTAATCTGGACTGTGGCAGTAGAAAAAGGAATCTGTTGACATTAAGGCCAAGCTCGGGTTAGGATACCCTTAAAGTCTAGGCAGGGTGGTGGCTGGAGAAAACATGGAAAAGCTGGTGGGAACTGAGAAAAGGAGTGGTTAAGACACCTGCATGGGAAGATTCAAGAGCAGTAGTTTTATTGTGGTTATAGATAGATTTTTAGGACACTGGTCCATTCTCCCTTACCTTTAACAGGAAAAAAAAAAAAGTAACATATGCCTTTACAAAGCATCAGAAAACTCACAAGAAATCTGAGTGCTGGCTTATATATTCTTTGCCCAATAGCAACTACTAGAGGAAAAATTTTCACAATACCAAACTCCTACTGCAGTGGTTAGCAGCCTTTTAGACCCAAGACAAGACGCTGGCCTCTCTTCTTCAGAATGTTGTGGGGTAATGACTGTGGGTCCAAAGTTCCAGAAAGGCAATCTCTCAAAAGTAATAAATAAAACCCAACACGTAAGTACACTTTATATCTACTTTCCAGCAAGATGCTTTCATAAACGCCACTTTTAAGGGGAAAAAAAATTTCATAATAGGTTGATCACTCATACTTTTAGTCTGTTATTTCCCAAACTTCCATCATCCAAGTACCATTTTCAGAAGTCATATTACCATATCTGCATCCCACCTGTACTGTTTTTTACCTAATACAGGTCTTTCAATTGATTTATTTTTTGCCCTATGCTTAGCAATAGCATCTATGAAATCAGTTTTGAGGTGTTAGGTTTTCCTTCTAATTTAAATTAAAATATATAAAGAACTTTTGCCTCATCAAACATGTGTGGTAAAATTTTTGCAGAATTTGTTTTATGTTTATCTGCTTATCATTTGAATTATCTTACCTATCTTAAGTTACTAAAGTTTGGGAAACTCTACTTTGGTACATACTGTTTTATTAAAAGTACTAGCTGAAGATCTGTCTCTCTCCTTTTGACTCCCCCTCTTCTCCTCCTGATCACCTCTATCTCCTTCCTCCCTCTTCTCTTCTCTACATAAATCTGTGAACCTCTCTGGGTGTTCCAGGCTGTGGAGAGCACATAGGGAACTGATTACTGGCTAGATTGCTCTCTCCCCTTTTGATTTTCCCTCTTCTCTTCTCCATGTAATTCTGCGAACCTCTCTGGGTGTCCCTCACTGTGGAGAATCTTTTCTCCATTAACCTAGATGTTTTACCATTGGTTAAACATTGGTGCTGTGTGGATGGAGAAGTCTTGAGGCTACTGTAAGAATAAGACTGAAAAACCAGAGGCAGAAGGCTTAAATCCAAAACCTGAGAACACCAGAAAACTCCTGACTCCAGGGAACATTAATCGACAAGAGCTCATCCAAAAGCCTCCATACCTACACTGAAACCAAGCTCCACCCAAGAGCCAACAAGTTTCAGAGCAAGACATACCACACTAATTCTCCAGCAATGCAGGAACATAGCCCTGAGCATTAATATACAGGCTGCCCAAAGTCACACCAAACCCATAGATGCCTCAAAACTCACTACTGGACACTTCATTGCACTCCAGAGAGAAGAAATCCAGCTCCACCCACCAGAACACCGATCCAAGCTTCCCTAATCAGGAAACCTTGACAAACCACTCGTCCAACCCCATCCACAGGGAGGAACCTCCACAATAAAGAGGAACCACAAACTTCCAGCATACAAAAAGGCCACCCCAAACACAACAATCTAAACAAGATGAAAAGGCAGAGAAATATTCAGCAGGTAAAGGAACATGA